CTTCACATTTCACCCATTGGCGTAATGCCTGTCGAACGTCCGCTCCACCGCACAGCCCGCTCATCTTGATCTCAGCGGAGGGCGCGCTCGGGCGGCAGCCCGGCGCGCCGGCGGGCGCCTCCCGCCGCGTCCGGCGCCCGCGCCCGCGTCAGCGCGGCCGGCAGGGCGGCGGGCGCGGCGCCGGGTCACCGGTGCTCGGTGTGCGGCTGACCGGACCGGCCGGAAAATGAAGTCGTCAGCGGCGGCGGGTCCGACGGGTCCCCCGCCCGCCCCCCGCCCGCCGGCCGCCCGCCACGCACCGGCCGGCGCGTGGGAACGCCGCGCGCGTTCGACGTAAAATTGAGATGCCCGGTATGAATACTTTCCGTGCGGGTGATCGGCTGATGATTCGGCCTGGCCGGGAAAAAAGACGCCGCGTTCTTGGGGCGTTTTTTCCCGGCTGGCGACGAGTCGCCGCGGCCGACGCTCAGACCGCATCGATTTGTATACATATATTGAATCATTAGAGCTGGTCAGATGTCGGCGGGCGGCCTTTTTGCCGGCGGTTTTTTGCACGGCGCGCTGCACGCGAGCGGTTTTTCGTGAATTGGCGTGTGCGTGATTGGCGCGAAATGCGGACACCGGCCCGTGTCGACCACGTCGGCTGTCAGGGGAGGGGCAGAGGCCAGAGCTGCGACCTTCAGCGGGTCAGACCGGCGGACGGCCCCCCTGTGCACGGGGACCGCGGGACAGAGGCAGAGCCGCGACCTTCGGCGGGTCAGACCGGACGGGACGGACCCGGCCTGTGCACGGGGATCGCGGGACAGAGGCCAGAGCTGCGACCTTCGGCGGGTCAGACCGGACGGGACGGGCCCGGTCCTGTGCACGGGGACGCGGGCAGAGGCCAGAGCCGCGACCTTCGGCGGGTCAGACCGGACGGACGGGCCTGGTCCTTTGCACGGGGATCGCGGGACAGAGGCCAGAGCCGCGGCCTTCAGGGGTCAGACCGTACAGGACGGGCCTGGTCCTTTGCACGGTGGACCTCGAGGCGGAGGCCGGAGCGCGGCCTTCAGCGGGTCAGACTCGACGGAACGGACCTGGTTCTTCGCACGGGCACCACGCAGGGTGGGAGGACTTACTGGAACGCAAACGGACGCCGGCGGCTCGTCGAAGGCGTGACGGACATCAGTCGACCCTCCACACACGCACACACACATATAGGATTTGTTTTGCTGTCGGCGCGACCCATCTGATTACCGTCCTGCCTGGCTGGTGTTACCGACAAAAACGGCGCTTGCAGAAACGACTGTGCGTGCCAACGGGCGAGCTGAGGTGCTTCTCGCAGTGATCGCATCGGTCGTCCTCTCTCCGTGGTTCCGTCCTCACCGCCGCCTCATCCTTGCCGCCGCTCCGTCCTCATCGCCGTTCCGTCCCACTGCCGCTCTGTCTCCACTGTCGTTCTGTTCTCATCGCTATTCCGTCCTCACGTGTTTCCGTCCTCACTGTCGTTACATATTATCCCCCCCGGCCACGTCGGTCCGCTTTTTCGGGCTTGATGAGCCCCCATCCCCTCCTTCCTTACTGCTGCAGCGCTTGTGCATTTCGCTTTTCTTTTGCATGAGATGGAGCACCGAAGCGAGCAATGGTAATGTGAGGCGCTTTTTATAGACCTGCAGATGTATAGAACCGAATGCGTGTGGAACTGATCGTATTATCAGTGCGCTTTGAGAGTCGCGGCTTCTTTGTGAGCGGTGGATGCCCTGCATTGCTTCAGGTCAGGCAAGCTGTATGTATGGTTACCGACTTCTGCACGTAGCTCTGAAGGGACATTGGCCACTATGTGCACATGTGGTTCTATCTAACAAGATGCATTATATTGCCGTGTCTTATCAGCTGACATCTCATTTGACGCTTCGGACTGCACGTTCGTGCGCGAACTCGGGCATCCGTCAAACCACGATACCTTGGTCCTGTCCCTTGACCGCCCTTGGGGAGTCAGGATATCATGTCATGAACTCGACAGTGGACAGATCACTTGCGGAAGATTCAGCAGTTCGCCTTCAGCAATACTAGCGCGGCGCTCGGCTCGGCGCTGCATCGTGAAGCCGAGCAGCTGAGCTGCCCGTGTCCACCCTTCCTTCCACCCCGCCAACGGCCGGCGTTGCCGGCCATGCCTTCCGCCAACAACATGGCCGAACGGCAATTTCACAGCGGTATTAATAATCGTCCGGCCGGGTTCAATATTTAATGAGAGCACCTCTCACATGGCGCCCGCTCGTAAAGGGAAAGGCCCATAAAGTTGGCCTGCATGAATGGGAAACACGTAAACAGGCGGCAAAAAGCGGCGCGCCGCCTGGGACCCGCGCGGCGCCGTGGCGCGGCCAGGTCAGTGTTCGCGCGGGTCAGCGGCGGCGGCGCGGCACCGGCGCCGGGTCAGGCCGGACGCCGCGCGCCCCGCGTGCCGTTGCAGCGCGCCGTTTTTGTCGCGGCGCGGTCGGCATGTGCGGCGGCGGCGCTGGGAGCCGCGCTGCGATCGCCGCCTCGTCAATCGCAGGTCGGGTCGCGGCGAGCGGGGCGGAGAGCGGCCGGCGGCGGGAACCGAGGAGGATGAGGCGGGAGACGCGGCCACTGGGAGATGACGGCAGCGCCGGAGGTGGCGGGGTGACGGTCTGGGGATGGGCTCTGGAATACGCCGGGCGCCATGCTTCCCGTGGTCACCCCTGACAATGTTGATGATGATGATTATGATGATGAGCGCTGTCTGATAAAGCGATCGAAGCGCCTACAGCAAACGTATCTGTTCGTATAACGAGACCAATTAGCCATATCCCTCACTACCTCTCATCGAACCATGTTTAGCTCGTCAGCGGTATGCACATCCGGTGTTGACACGGGCTCCCATTGGAGCCCACGTTTTGCTACGCTACCAACGTCGTCGAGAAGCTCCCATCACAAAGAGCCCAGCTGCCGCCGCGCTCCCGACACCTGTGCCCGTACATCTGCCCCGGGTGTCGCATTCTTCGCTTGTTCGCATGTTGCGACCAGGGGTGCTGTGTGTGTGTGTGTGTGTGTGTGTGACACAGCCGCTCTGATCGGCGCTTGGTCCTATCTTTGGATTCGTGGGATTTTGTTCAGGCTCGGGTTCAGTTTTGGTACGTCGGGCCCGTTTTGGTTTACCGGGTCGCCCCACGAGTGCTTTACACTGCTAAAGGTACTTGGGCCCTTCGGCCTCAGCCCTTCCTCCACGATTTCCTCCAGGGGGATAATGGCCCCAGTGGCTTCACCCTTGGCGACACCACTGGCTTGGTGCAGCCTTGGTAGCTCCCGGCCCGATGTCCTCTTTAACAGTCGTTTCTTACTCGTTGTTAGGATTAACAGCAATCCCTTTGGCCGGATGTGTCACGAAATATGCTACTCACCCTAGCCTTCACCTCTCATTCTCAGTCTGGACGCTGGTACATGCCTCGTCGCGGGCACCTTCCATTGTTCAGGCCACTGGGCTATGCTGAGCCCAGCCCATCGCGGCCTGGCGGGTTCGGCCTACTGGCTCGGTGGGTGCCCCACGCCTGCCCGGTACCTGGCAGCTCCTCCCGGCGTCGGCCGATTGTCGGCAGGCTGTCGGCGCGTCGCTCCGCGCTCCCGCCGACAGCGGTGGGCGGCCGTTTTTGTCGCGGCGCGGTGCAGGCCGGCAGCGGCGGCGGCGGCGGCGGCGGCGGCGGCGGTCCGTCCCGCCGAACTGCACATTAGCCGGGCGCCGCTCGGCGCGGCGAGACTGGCGGAAATAAGCGGAGGCCGAGCCGTCGCGGCGTCTGCGCGCGGCCGCGCAGCATCGGCAATCAGCGGCGGCCCCCGGCTAACTGTACCCGCCATTAGACAGATCATGCGCGTCAGGCGGCGACACCGCCGCCGCGTGACACGGCGTGGCGGAGGCGGCAGAGGCGCCGTCGGCGGGAGACGGAGGTCGGCGCTCCGGCGGCGCCTTGCCGCCGCTGTCGGGCGCCCCGCGCCGCGCGGCAGTCCTCTGCAGTCGGGGCTTCCGCAGTCCAGGGCCTTCTGGAGTGGAGAGCTGTCACCCTCGGCCCGTGATCTGGGGCCCCGTGACCTGGGCTCCGTGGGCTCCCTGGCCGGTGGTGTCGGACTCTTGACCTCGGCGGCCCCGCGGTCCCGGCTTCTCCGCCATCGGTGCCGCACCGCCTCGAGTCTCGCGCCCCTCCTCGCGGGCGCGCCGCCCGGCAGCGCTCCCGGCAGCGCTCTCCGGTGCCGCACCGCCTCAAGTCTCGCGCCCCTCCTCGCGGGCGCGCCGCCCGGCAGCGCTCTCGGCAGCGCTCTCCGGTGCCGCGCCGCCTCGAGTCTCGCGCCCCTCCTCGCGGGCGCGCCGCCCGGCAGCGCTCTCGGCAGCCGCTCTCCGGTGCCGCACCGCCTCGAGTCTCGCGCCCCTCCTCGCGGGCGCGCCGCCCGGCAGCGCTCTCCGGCGCCGCTCCGGCGGTCGTCAGCTGGTGCTGCGGCCGCGTCGCCGCCGTTGTCGCGGCCGACGCCCGGCCCGCCGGCCACCGGCGGCGCCGTTTTTGTGCGGCTCCGAGCGCGGTGAAACGCGACATTTCTGGTGCGCGCGTGCGGCGCAGCGGCGTGCGCGGACGCTCGGTGAATGGGCGATGGATGGGTGGACGCTCACCGGCGCCGCAGTGGTGCAAGCTGGACCGGTACCGCATGCGCCGCGCGCGGACGGCGTTGGCACCAGGGAAAAGGCGCCTGGGATGTGATGTCGTAAAGAGGTCTTTTGCGGCATTACGTTTTGCTCGTTTATTGTCTGCGCTCATTTGCTGTGCCTTGCTCGCCCTCGCTGTCTGCTCTTTTGTACTGGGTTGTGTGTTTACTCCCAGTTTGCTCGTCTGTGCTTCGTGCACTCGTTCGCTTCTCGTTCTCCCGTTCTCTCATCATTAGCGCGTCCTCACCTCGTTGGCTCGTTCGCACGTCGCCGGTGTTGGGCGTGTGGGGTCTGACCATTCACCACCTGCCGGCAGCGAGCTACATGAACAACTACATAAACTTCGCGCCGACGCCGATGCGGCCCGAGTGGAAGCGGTACAAGCAGTACAGCAAGACGGACCTGCAGCAGGCGCTCGACGCCGTCAAGGGCGGCATGACCGCCCTCCAGGTACGAACACCGCGCGACCGGGGGAGGGTCTGGGCCAGCTGGGGAGAGAGAGGTGGCCTGAATTACCGGGAGCAACGGGTGAGAAAGGATAGTTGGGCACCGGTGGCGGCGCGCTGCTGGTGCGAGCGGGCGCGCTACGAGCGGTGTCCGTGCTGCGTTAGCGGCAGCGCAGAGGTCGGAGGTTGTGGAGAATAAAATGCTTAGGAGGCATGCGTAATTTGGAGAGGTCTTCAAAAGAACGCAGACATCACGTCAGCGATTTCGTGTCATGAAGCTTGTGTTATGGCCCATATGTGAGTTTTTGCCTCGTTTTTCTTGCAAAGACGTGCCGGAAACAACAGATGAAGACGGGAGCCAAGTGCGACAAAAACCGTTTATTGTGCAAATCCTGGTCCATCTAGATCATATCAGAAGCCGCATAAACATGGGCATCAGCGTGTTTATTAAAAAAAGAAATGCTGTTTTTCATACACGACTGATTGACTTTGGGGCCGACGCAGACATTTGGGGGCCGAGGACCAGGGAAACAGAGTCCTCTTCAAGTTGGCGGGCTGAAAGGTTTCCGGTTATATTTTCATTTAGCGCAAATGCGTTAGTTTGAGTGGAGTTGATTGGGGGAGGGCTCAGCCACCGTTGGCTCTGCTAGTTCCCATGCCTCTGGCAACGATTATCTGAAGTGACTCAAAGATCCACACGTTAGGTGGCTGCTAGGTGGCAGCACTGCTCGTACGCGGGTCTGGCGCCATCTATAACACGCACTTGTTTTGGATCACCATCTTCGATTTCGATTTCCGTTGCTAAAACAGCCGTTCGAAAACTTGAGGTTAGCGTGTGATGAAATGCCATCGGCTCCTACACCAGCTTGTGTATTCCTTGCCACCGTTAAGTCAAAGGGTTTAGTGCATATGGTTTCCTGAATAGAATGCGTGAACATGTGTCCCGTAGTCTCATGTAGCGAAGTATATACTAAAACATGTGATGGTGGGCTTCTAGAGTGCAATTCATGTCATTTTCAACATTGTGTGTGCAACACGCTAGTCTGTCCCGAATTGGCCAGAGAAGGGGAAAGCATCATAAAAAAGCGCCGATTGAGTGCTAAAGCTGTTAAAAAGAAAACACTTCTCAGGCGGGCTAATCCCGCTCTGATCTGTCAGGACCCCTCGTGAGAGCCTTGTGGCTGCCGGCCCGGTCCAGCCCGGCCTGAGCCCCGCTGACACCGTCTCACTCCGGCAGCGTCGCGCAAGTTCCACGTGCCGTCTCGCACGCTCTACGACAAGATCAAGAAGCTGGGCATCCCGACCATGCCGCGCCGCTACCCGCGCTCCGTGGGCGCTGTGCCGGCCGTCGCCGTTGCCCGCTGTACCCGGCCGCGCCGCCCACTGACGAAGACGACGGCCAGGCGGAGCGGCAGCGGGCCAACGGCGACGCCAGCGACGTGCAGCGGCAGCCGATGGAACTAGTGGTTGGTAGGCGGCGCCCGAGCGGCGGCGCCCCTCGAGCGCGAGCTCGGCGAAGACGGCATCAAGCGACACCGCGACGAGTCGGACGATGCCCGCGAGCTGGACGTGGTGGCCTAGCGCGCGAGCGTGCGCGCGTCACACGGATTGTGATCTAGCAACGGAGCATTCCACGGTCTGTCTCCGCCTCATGACAAAGGTAACCATATCAAAATGTGCACCGCGGGCGCCGGCGCGTCTGTCTATGGTAGTGGGGGTGGCTAGCGTCTGGGCGCTCAGGGTGAGCGGAAGCCCCTGCACTGTACAAATTGTGGTGTGCAATGCCGGCGGCGCCGGCGGCTGGCGCGCGGCTGCGGGACCGGCCGCCGGGCCGCCTGTTGCTCAAGTGAGAATCAAAGGGTGCTGGCCGGGCCGCGCGGCCGCTCGGTGCGCGCGATGCCCCGTCCGCACCGGCCCGGTCCGCTGGTGGGTCCTCACACAGGGCACGCGAGTGCTGGCCGCGCGCACCTTCTCATTGTAGTGTGTTCGTCTGTAATTACGCAGCTGAACGGGGGGACGCCGATCGGTGGGGAATTACATGCAGCGTTGTCATGCCCCCTCTTGCCCGGGACTCGGACGGTGATGCTGCGTTTTGCAGTCAGCGTGAAGCAGATAAGGTGGGTTTGTTATCTACAATGTGGCCGCTTCCTGAGCGCTTTTGACTGCCGACTTTGTTAGCTTGGCTAGCCGTGCACCGATGCTTCCGCTTCTCTTTATGTGCTGTGCTCACGTCCTAGGCCGCTTCGGGCCGAGCTCCGTGAAGCTCCCAGAAATCAAAACCTCCGCCGCTGATATTATGACGTGATATTTTATGGCGTGCGCGTCGGTGTGATCATGTGAGCCGAACTCAGACATGTTTGTTTCATTCCGCCGTGCCCGTGCGGACTGGAGCCCACGATATTACCATGTATCTCAGAGATGTGCTGCTCGTGGCACAGGGAGTACGGTCACACTTGAATATGCACAGGTGTTAACCGTCTATGCATTGTTTGGCGGGCCGTCGTCACTCGTGCACCAAGCGAATGTGGAACATCGAAGTTACACGCGACTTTAATTAAACGCAAGTGTTTCATTGTTTTGATGTACTGTTGCGTGTGGTTCGTAGTTTTGTGAACAGAGGGATGCCTGAAGACATAGGCTGTAAGGGACAACCATGCCTGAAGACTTGCACAATTAGGCTAGATTTCCCGGTACGCGAGACTGCACGGTGCCGCCGTGGTTGTCGGGAGGGTCGTTAACATTCCGATGAACCTTGGCCGGCTGGCCTGTTGTGTGTGGGGGTCGGTTGGGGGAGGGACGTGGCCAGCCGTCGTGTGGCCCCCTCTCTAGTTTCCATATCTGTGCGCCTTCGGACTCATTCCGCCGTCCTTGCGCGCCGCCTGGCGGCGCGCCGTGCCTTGCTCGCTCCAGCCGGTAGGGGCGCCACTGTCGTCGCGTGCGGACCCGCCGCCGCACGGGCGTGTTCGGCAGGGCCGGCGCAGCAGGGAGGCCAGGGGAAGAGAGTATTTTTGTTACTGCCAGTTGCGTCCAGGGCACAGGAGGACCGAGTGTTGTCTGTTATTACTTGATAGAACTAATTTATGGGAGTGGTGTAGATACGGTTGTAAATAAATGCGTCTGTTGGCTGCACTTGTCTGCACATCTCGTCCACCGCTCTTTGCAGTACCGGCACTGGCAGGGCGTGCTGGCCGGCTTACATTACGTTTCTGTGCAGACACGCCCTGCGTGACTGGGACAGAGGCCACATTCCCACCCACGGTGGCTGTAGAGCGGAGATACAGTGCGGAGACAGCATGAAGCAAGCGCACACGCGCGCCGCACGGCTGTTCCCAGTGAGGACAGCGATCTGGGGACCCGCACGACTCCGTCACGAGGCTCCCAGCTGGCGCCTGACCACGGCACACGTGTAGGTCCAACGGCGCTGCGCTGCTACTCATTGGAAAGCTTAGTAATGTATATGTGATTGTAAGCTATATATAGACTTACGATGTCCCAAGTGGCATCATCAGACATGCAGCGGTGTTCCAGTATGCAGGAGCACGGAGAGGTATCACGCAGAGGCATCAAATGTCGCTCGCGGGCGGGCCGGGACAGTTACGATGCACTGACCGACGAAGTTGCTCGGCGACTTCTATGACATGGAAGACAGAGCTTTTATTTCACAAGGCTTTCCTTAAAAATGGGAGGGGCCTGGGTGCGATTCCCCAATACTTTTGCTTCATTGTAAGGTTTTTTTAATGTTCCACACCATTTCCATTATCAGCTGGTTATTTTGTGTTCGCTCGAAAACGCAGGCGTTCCGGCAACCAGTAACACCACAAACCAGGCAAAAAGCATTGATGTATGCCACCGCAGGGCAAATACAACCAAACTTGTGATGCCAGCTGGCCCGCCTGTGAGCATGACCTGCACCAGTCAGCAGAGGCAGCGTGCGCCGGCCCGAGCCGCTGTGGGAGGGCGCCGTCGGTGCTGACGACCTCTGCTCTCCGTGCCTCCCCTGGCGACAATCACCGGCGGCCTCGCCAGCGTGCTCTCCTCTAACGAGGAAATCCCGGGCGTCTCCTTACAGGCACGGAGCGTTCTGGGCGTAACTGAACACGACTCGCGACTGGCTGGGCGTCATGCGTTTTCATGCATTACCTCTTCCTCCTTTTGTGACGGGTCCTGCCAAGCCGTCACCCGTCCGTCACCGCCCGCCCGTGCCGCCACCAACCGTGTAGGTTACCCTTATCATGAACACAGGAGGGGTGAGTGCTATTTGACATGCTTTATCAACTGTGGTCAGTCATGAAGTCGCGCGTGCATTGCAAGCTCAGAGGGCACCGGAGAGATGCTTCTGCGTCGGGCGGGGAGGCCGTCACCGCTGCCGCTAATCTATCATCGCTCGTCGCCAGCGGGGCTCATTACGGTTTCATATGTGAACGCCGCTTTTGCGGCGACAGAGGCAGGCGCGGGGATCATTATTGAATCATTGAATGAGCGGGTATCGCTCGGAACCGAGTCCGATCCCGCAGGCCGAGGCCGGGGCGGCGCCGGGCGACGGCCGGGAGGGGGGGGGGGGGGGCAGCCCCCGGCGGTCCTCGCCCGGCCGTGTAATGTCGGGACACACAGATCGATTTGTCCGGCGGGCCGGGTACGGTTAGCCTCATAATGATTCACCGATGCTTAAGTTTCAACTTTTGTCGAGACTGGTTTCGTTTTGGTTTCTTTGGTTGATTTACCAAACCTTACGTTGCCTACCTTGCCTTGCTTAACAGTTTTCTTTCTCCATAGCAATGTTACATTTACAAAGGTAGCCAAATTACACGTGGCTTCTCTCCTCACAATTCATCCGCTTGTGACTGCATGGTGCCTGGCTGTGTCCTGTGCACTCCGCCTGCCACCTGGGCACCGAACCGATCCGGTCCGACTGGGGTCACACGGGTACGCGGGTCCTCTCAGCCGGGGTCACATGGGCCCACGAGTCCTCCCAGCCATACCCCGACTGGGTCACACGGGCCCACGGTCCTCCCAGCCATACCCCGACTGGGGTCACACGGGGCCACGGGTCCTCCCAGCCATACCCCGACTGGGGTCACACGGGCCCACGGTCCTCCAGCCATACCCCGACTGGGGTCACAAGGGGCCACGGGTCCTCCCAGCCATACCCCGACTGGGGTCACACGGGCCCCACGGTCCTCCCAGCCTTACCCTGACTGGGGTCACGGTCCCCCAGCCATACCCCGACTGGGGTAACACGGGTGCACGGGTCCCCCAGCCAGACTCCGACTGGGGTCACACCTATATGCGGGTCCTCCCAGCCATACCCCGGCCTTCCTGGCACCGGGACCGATCTCTGTCCAGCCGCGCGGGGCAGACCTCACGCAGCTACCGGAGGGCAGGGCGGAACCCAGGCTGCAGCAGGTCGCGACAGGCCCACTGAAGAAGTCCATGAACAGGGCGAAAACGGTGACGTTTGTACCACGTGACCCGCCACGGTAGCAGGCCTGGCGAGGGACAACCGCGCGTCACGAACCCCTGTAAACGCGAAGCACCTCTCTGGGGCATAAGAAATGTGTCGAGGCAGCGCTTGGAGGGAAATTGAGTAGTGTGGGTCGGTGTGCATTTCACGCCGTGCATGCCTCGCAAGACAATTAAGGGTCTGCCTCCCCTTAGGAAGATCACATCCTGGTCAATGTACTGGTCTCATGACATAACTGTAATGAAACCAGTGCCGAAAAAAGAAGCAAAGTTCATGGCAGGGGATAACTGTCACTGCTTTACTGGTATCAGGGAACTATTGTCGTGTTCGACTTGAACCCACCCAATCTCAACCACATCAACCAATCTCAACCACATCAATGGGGCTCGGAGCCCGTGGCCGATGATCCCATGGCTGACTAGCCTATGCTCGGTATCATCCTAACCCGATACCCGTCTGTTATCATTCAGCGTGTCATCTCACCCGGTGGCTATCCTTACTTTCCTCCTTTTTGGCGCATATTTCTTACCTAAATTTTACGGACTCAAGAATGACACTGGTGTAAGTGGATCCACCTATTTTAAGTCACTGATCTAAGTGCGTCCTTGATAGCCAAAATCTCCTGCCACCGCACCAATCACCGTACTAACAGGCGAGCCAGCCTGGCCTTCCGGCTGGGGCTATTTCTACAATGATTCCCAGCCGCTGTCCAGCCGGGGGCCACCTGCCGTGTAGGCTCACAATCAATGCCACGGGCCCTAAACCTATGTCAAAACACAGCATTCATTAACGCAGCGCGGCGCGGCCTTAGTGGCCAGCTGTGCCTGATCACATCCTGCCACGGAACACGGATGCGTACGTGACGGCGTGCATAACGGGCAGGTATGTGGATTTGCGTTGCATGCGAAGAAAATTAGGCTATAATCGGGTGCAGGGCACATGCGCCCCGGTACGGCTAGTTTCTGGGTACGTGCGGTATGAAAATAACCAAGGTTGACGTTGCGTCCGTGTATGCAACGCGGGCGCACTTCGTTATTAGCGAAAGTAGCAGGAAACGTTTAGTTGGTGAAAATATGAGTCATTGATTGACTACCTTGGTTCTTCTGAAACGTATGAGCGT